CCTTGTCAGAGAAGTTCCTTAAGGGACCCTGCCTTCTTCTTTCTCCTGATGTCCACACTGAAGTCACCCTCTCCTTATTCAGTCTTGCTTTGGGCACGGTGGAGAGGCCTCACTGAGGGTCCTCTCTGGGGTCCTATACTGCTTTTCTGATCCCCCACTTGCCTCAACTTGAGCTAGCCCGAAGCATCATCAGTTTGCACGTTATTTGTCATCAACCTGTCACTGTCTGTGATCTCTGGGGCTTTCTTAGCTGCCTCTCTCTTCTTCCTCTTCAGGACTGTATCCATTACCATAGTTAAAACCCACTGCCGTCGACTCAATTCCAACTCATAGCGACCCTATAGGACAGAGTAGAACTTCCCCATAGGGCTTCCAAGGCTGTAATCTTTACGGAAGCAGACTGCCACATCTTTCTTCCGTAGAGTGGCTGGTGGGTTCAGACTGCTGACCTTTTGGTTAGCAGCTGAGCACTTAACCACTGTACCACCAGGGATCCTTTACCATGGCTGGGACTTCATAATTTCCCATTTCTCAGGATCCACAACCTCTTTTAGAATCTCCAGTTGTGCTTTTGGATTACGATAAAAGCCTGGCTCTCTCTGTCCACCACTATTCTTCAAGTCCTTCCATAATGAGAGAAGAGATGGTGTATCACACCCTGGGTATGACGGGTTGCCTCATTTTTTGCCTCTGGCCCACCTATCAGGAGGATCAGGGAATTCAGTCCTGGAGGGGTGGCCTCTGCTGCTGTCAGCACCCGTGGTGACCCCAGTTAGTCATCCACAGGGTGACGGTTGATGCCTCTCTGTCTGTCTACACTGGAGCCCATAACATAACCAGTGCCATCACTGTCGGCATTAGGTCTGCTTCCTCGAAATGAGAATCCATGTGCAAGTAACTTATTAAGGATGTGCTCCCAGGGGTGACCAGCAAAAGAATGGGGAAGTAGGACGGGCAAGAAGAAGAAGCTAAGGACACAAGAACCTGAACGTCCAAAGCAGTATTTTTTGTAACATCCCCAAACTAGAACCCACCCAAATGTCCAGCAACAGTAGAAGTGATGGAAAAAAATGTGGTTATATTCATACAATTGACTCCCTGGGTAGTATAAACAGTTAAACCCTTGGCTACTAACTGAAAAGTGCATGGTTCAAATCCACCTAGAGGTGCTTTGGAAGAAAGTTCTGGCAATCTACTTCCCAAAGGCCACAGCCATTGAAAACCCTATGGAGTGCACTTCTACTCCAAAACACATGGGATCTTCATGAGTTGGCATCAACTCCATGGCAACTTGTTTGGTTTGATTTTTATTCATACAATTGAGTACCACCCAACAATGAATATGAATGAACTAATGCCACATGCAACAAGCTGAATAAATTTTACAAACTGGGAGAAATATTTGCAACTTATACTCCAGATAGAAGATTAATCTTCCTTATATATAAAGAGTTCCTTAAAAGTGTTAAGAGAAAGATCAACAACTCAACAGAAAAAAAAGGGCTGTGGATATAATCAGGCAGTTCAGGGAAAAAGAAATACAAGTTGCTCTTAAATGTTTGAACAAATATTTGGCTTCTCTCATAAGAGAAATGCATATTAAAACTGCACTTTCACCTTTTAGGCTAGTAAATATCACAAAGTTGATACACATTATGTTAGTAAGCCTGTGGGAAAAGGGGGCACTCTCATATATTGCTGGTGCAATTGTAAATTGATACAAATTGGAGGACAATTTGATCATCTATCCAAATCACAATTTATTCCACAGATATACTTGTGTGTAAGATTATCCATTTGCAGGACTGTTTGTAATAGCAAAAGATTGGAAACCATTTATATGCCCAAGAGGGGAGTGTAAGAATAAATTATAACATTCAGCTATAAAAAATAATGAGGATGCTCCCAAGATACAACAGTTGGTCTCTATTCACCTGGAGCAACAGAGGAAGAGGGAGATTCAGGAATTGGAGAAAGAAATGGACTGTAGGTCTAATTGCCTCCATGAACTACTACCTCTTTGCCATGAGATCAGAAGAAATGGATGGTGCCTGCCTACCGTTACTAAATGTTTTGATCAAGGATCCAGTATATGGATCCTTGTTCAAAAGGAAAAAATAGTGGAACGGAACTTCAAATTCCTATGGAAACTAGACGTACTGGATCCACCGAGACTGGAGGAACTCTCTGATCTATTGCCTGGAAACAATTGTTAAACCTTGAACGGAAATTTTCCGATGAAGTTATCTTTAAACAACAGTTTGGCTCAATTAATAAAGAATGTTTGCCATGAGCATTGCATTCTTTTAAAGAATTACCTATATGAGGTAAAAATTGATGAGAGTAACTCTAAAGCACAGGTGAAAACTTTAAAGGGTAGAGAGTATAAGTTAACAATGGTGAAACAATGTGGGTAGACACAGGGAGACTAGTGTCAACACTGTGAAGTTCGTAACCACTGTCATTGAATTGTGCATGTAAAAACTGTGGAATGGGTGTATGTTTTGTTGTGTATCTTTTCACCCAAAATAAAAAAAAAATGAAGATTCTACACACCCACTAGAATGGCTAAAATTAAACAGACTGACAGCACTAAATGCTGGTGAGCATGTGGAGAAGATGAAATTCTCATACATTGCTGGTAGGAATGTAAAATAGTACAGCCACTTTGAAAAAGAGTTTCAGAGCTTCTTAAAAAATTCAATACACTCTTACCATACCAGCTGCCGTAGAGTTGACTCTGACTCTTGTTGACCCGTGTCAGAGTTGAACTGTGCTCCATGGGGTTTTCAGTGTTGATTTTTTGGAAGTAGATTGCCAGGCTTTTCTCCTGAGGTGCTTCTGGGTGGACTTGAACCACCAACCTTTTGGTTAGCAATGAGCACGTTAACTGTTTGCACCATTATCATATGACCCTGCAATTCCACTTCTAGGTATTTACAGATAAGAAATGAAAATACATGTCCACATGAAGACTTGTACAGCAATTTTGTAGCAACTGTAGTTATAAGAGCCCCAAACTGGGAAAGAACCCAAATGACTAACTGGAGAAAAGAGGAACTGTGGTTCATTCATAACACAGAACCGTTCTCAGCCATACAAAGGAACAAACTATAGACACTGAAGTGATATAAATAAATCTCATATAGAGGGGAAGAAGCCAGATACAAAAGATTACAGGCTGGATGATTCCACTTATATGAAGTTCTAGAACAGCTAAAACTTGTCTACAGACAGAGAGTAGATCAATGATTCCCTGGGGTTAAGAGCGAGAGAGAGTGATTGGGAAGGAGCACGAGAGAACTTTTAGGGGGTAATGGAAATGCATCTTCATTGTGGTGGTGGTTCACGGGTGTCTACATTTATAAAAACTCAACTAACTGTACCCTTAAAAATAGATGCATTTTATTTCACGTAAATTGTATCTTAACAAAATCAATGTTAAAAACCAAAGTAATAATAATAGTAATAATCATAAAAAACAACAATAATGAGGACACTCTAAATGCACTGATATGAAGGATCTCCAAGGTGTATAAAGTGAAAAAAAAAAATCAAGGTGCATGGGAGGAAAAAAATGTCAGTATTATCTTGCTTATGCATAAAAATAATCTAAAACCCTAGGCAAGAAACTTCCTGTTGGGGATGAGGACTGAGAGGATGGGGAGAGTAGAGGGGGACACTTTTCCTCTTACATTTTTTGATGTGAATGTAGGTTTCCCTCTCTGCTGGAGCTCTTGCTAACTGAATTCTTTCATTCCAAATTCTCAGAAACAAACAGATTTGCTTAAAAGTTACCATCTCTTGGTATCCTAATACTCGCTACTCAAATCCAAATTTATTACTTATTAAAACAAAGCAAAACAAGACCTTTAAAACAAGACAACAGATGTTACCAAGGTCGAGTGGATCCTCCACGCCTGGGAGTCTATGGCTATGAACAACTCTTCCCACCGCCAGGGACAAACACTGCCCCTCCCCCCATTGTCCCATCCCATTGCCTTTGCCCAGCACCGAAGACCCCAGGACCGCGGCCTCCACTCGCTCGCGTCACCCACCGCATGTGCCTCGGGGGCGGGAGCTGGCGACCGCTGCGGCACAGAGACAATCTCCGGGCTGTGGCCGCACCTGCCCTGTCGCGGTCGCCGGCCTCCTTTTCCCTAGGGACATCCAAAGCCAGTACAGGACCCAGCTTGACCTCCCCGGGTGCTCCTTGGGGCGCCTCTGGAGAGGACTGGTGGCAGGGCGGGGACAGAGGTCGGCTCCAGGAGGCCACGGAGTGGGGCGCTCTCTGGGCAGACCCAAGCAGCAACGCGCAGCCCCCTAGCCCCGGCCTCTGTCCTCCCCACTGTGGTCCTCAAAGGTGCTTCTCCGCGGTTCCCGCCCCATCCCCACCCTCCGACCCCAGGAGTAAGGGTCCCTCCGAGACCGAGGGGCCACACGGATTCCACCCGGTCCCGCCCGGCCCAGCTCTCCTTCCTCGACGGCTGCTCCCGCCTGGAGGGTCGTCCTGGCTCCCCGCGGGCGCACGAGGTCTGTCCCTCGGACCAGGGTAGGGATGCGACCGACTGCGGTCCCGGCACGGGCGGGGCCCGGGTCGCGCGCGGGGAGGGGCTAGGTCCGGAGTGGCGCGGGAGGGTCCGGCGGCGGGCCGGGCTGCCCTGGGCGTGGGACCGCCGCGATCCAGCCGGGGCGGGGCCGGGAGCCGGAGCTGCAGCTCAGAGGCCGAGGCGCTCACAGCCATGGACCGGAGGTCCCGGAGAGCTGGGGGGTCGCCGGCGCTGCTGCTGCTGCTGCTGCTGCTGTGGCCGGGGCCGGGGCCCGGGGCTCTTCAAGGTGAGGACGCGGGCAGGGTCCGCCACGAGGGACAGGCAGGGGTGGGGGTGTCCGCCCAGAGCCTTGGTAGGGCCAGGGGATGGGAGGGTCTGAAAGCCCCGGACCGCCGGCTAGGAGGGCAGGGAGTGGGGAGGGCCTAGGTGTCTCCGTTGGACCTACCCAGGGACCCTCACCTGTGCTTGGGCCGGACTCCGGCCGCCTTGCCTACACTCTACCCGGCAGCTACCCCTCCATGGGCAAAGCAAAGAAAGGAGCAGGGCCCCTTCCCCTCTCAGCAGCTGCCACCTCCCCCTCCTAACGCCCTCTGCCAGGATAGTCCACTCTCACCTCCCACCGCCCAGTCCCAGTGTGAACCGCTGCACCTCTGCCCCTTAAGGCTAAGTGGGTCTCCCTCTTCCGGGAAGCCCCCCATCCCAGCTGGCCCCCCAGAATCCCTGTTCTGCCCTCAGATGACAGGACTAGCCGTGGCCTCCACCAAACCCTCACCCCCTCACCCAGCGCTCACCCTCTCACCCCTGGGCCTTGGGGCAATGTTTATATTGTTGCCTTGTTTGGTTAGATAGAGAAGGACTTCTCCGTTCTGAGGGTGCCTGTTCAGCAGTGCCCTGGGGGAAGACTGCTGTAGCCTCTCCTAGCTGTCTGTGAGACAGGGATGGGAGGATTAGCTGAGTTCTGTACATCAAGTGCCTGGCTGAGGGGACAGGGCTGGGACCCTGAGGGGCTGGGCTGGGCTGGGCTGGGCTGACACGGCATGGGGAAGGGAGAGAGCGCAGCTGCTGCCTGCTGGCACGCTGAGCACGGACCCAGGCCTGACCGGGCAGCCAGTCCAGGGCAGGCTTCCACCTGGGACCTCTTCATTTTTTTTGCTCTGCTCCAAGGGAGAGGGCCGATAGCCCTTTGTGCCTTTGGGGACGGTCCCTAGGCATCCTGCTGCTCCCTCCCTTCTGGGACCTCTGGGAGGAGTGGAGAAGGGCTCAATGCGCCCCAGCACAGCCTGGCTCCCCCAGTTTCCACTTCTATCCACCTAGTCACCACAGCCCCAGGTCTGCCTCCCTCCACTAAGGTGCCCAGTGGCCAGTGTGTGTGTGCAGGGCTGTGTGGGGAACAACCCTGCGTGCCCACAGGTACACCCTTCCCTCTCCACCCTTGGAGGCCTGGGGCCAGCAAGACCCAGCTCTCCACACCCACTTAAGTCCTTTCTGGGCTGAGAGATCCCCACCTCATCCTCTCCCCCAGACCCACTCAGGCTCCTCTCCACACTGGCCCCTTCAGCCTCTCCCCAAGCTGTGGGGTTGCCAACCCGTCACTCCCACTGGCCTGTCAGCTTGATGACAACTCACTCATCCAATCAGGGAGGGCTTTTTGGGGAAGGGGGGCTCCTGGAGCTGCTGCTATTCCAGGTCTTTGATGTCCAGGGCCTGGCAGAGGAGGTGGAGGTAGGAAAAGGAGTTGGGGTGTCCAGGCATGGGTGAGCCACCTCCACAGGAGGCCATCTCAGCCTGGGAAGGGTTGGGGTCAGGGCTGACCTCTGGGTGGGAGGTTGTTCTGGAAGCTGAGCCTGCCCCAGAACTGGGTCCCAGAGGGTGGGAGGGCTGGCTGAGGCTCTGGGCTGCCTCTGGCCTGGCTCCTGTAGGGCAGGCCTGATGAGCTGCTGGGGCCCAGTGGTGGGGCTGGGGAGCATTCCAGGGGAGCATTCCAGTGTCTTCTTGTGAGCAATGCTTGGCTCTGGGATTTCTCCTGGAGCCCCCTTAGACCCACTCAGCCAGGGAGCACCCTGGATCTCTCTGCAAGGCCCCCCTCCTGAAGGCAAGAGGAGGGGGTTTCTGGGCCGGGGTCCAGCCTTGTTCCCAGCATGAAGGGGCAAGGTGAGTCTCCTAAGACAGCATCTGGCTGTTGTTATTGTTCTCAGAGTGGGGAATGGGGAAGACACTGGCACCCACCCTCAGAATCTCTCATCCTAAAGGCATCCGCTGCCCGGTGTAAAAATACCCAGGCTGCCTCCGCCTTGCCTGTCCCCTCTTGGGGGGAGGGAGCATGGCCTCTTCCTTGTGACCTCTGACCCCAAGGCTTCCCCTCCCCCCAGAGGTCAGTGCATCCCCAGCTGAGCTGTTCCTTCCCAGGCTCCTCTATCCTCTGCTCCCTCCCTGGTGGCCCCTCAGTTCCAGGGATGCCCATGGGTGCCCACCCTTCTCCAGGCTAAACATCCGACATCTCTAAGCCCGTCCCACTGCTGTCCCCCCTCTGCTGTCCCCCCTCTGCATTCCTCAGGCTCCCCTCACCCTGTGCTCTGTCCTCACCTCAGGAGATACCCCGGGAGAGCCAGCCACCCCCTACTGGGTCCTGGATGGAAGGCCCTGTCGCGAGGTCACCCTGGAGGAGTCGGTCAGTGGCACATCACCCCTTCCTCTGCCAGGGCCCGGTTTGCTGGGGTCTCCAGAACCACACAGTCATTACTTTCTCAGGCCCCTCTCGGCAGGGTGGGCAGGCGGGAACAGGGAGACGTCTAGATCATGTGAGCCTACACACATGGAAGTCATTTTCAGGTTTCCTCCACTTCGCCTCCCCCTTTCCCTCCCTTCCCAGAGTTATCGGGCTGCCTCTGCCCCCACCACACAGAGGCAGGTCCAGAGTTGTGGAGCTTGAAGCTCCTCAGGGGCCTCTTCAAGAAAATGCCAAAATACCTTCTTTTTCCAAAGTTTAACAGAACATGTGACTCCGTGGACACATTGTTGCCCCCTCCCCCGACCCTGGCTCTGCCCCAAGGGGCCTGGAACTTCAGCCTTACTGGCTCTCACAGAATCCATTTCTGGCCAAGGGGCAGTAGTCACTCTCCTGGTACCCCCCAGGTACAAACCCACCCCCTTTTGCTTCTCTGGGATGCTAGGCCCCTGTCCCCTCCCAGCACCTGCCCATCACACACTTCCAGAATAACCAGGCCCCATTGGTATGTGCTGCAGCCACTGTGCTGCAATCCAGGGGGTGGGCACCCTCAGTATGCCTGGTTCACAGATGGAAGCCCAGAGAGGTTGGGGAAATTGCCCCAGGTCATACAGCTGTTTGGCCTGGCAGCCTGAGACGTGCTAAGGTGTGGACAACTTCATACCATCAGCCGACCCCCTAAGCGCAGAAAGGCCTCTATCCTGAATTTCCAGGCGGGGGAGGACAGCCCCACCGTCCAAGCTCATTGAGGGGGAGAGGAGGAGAGAGCTGCCATGGAGGCTGGGATGCCCCCAGAGGCCCAGCAGCTTCCCACTTGAAGCCCTAAGTGCGGTTCCCTAGACCCTCAAGGTCTCCCAGGCCCTTGGGGCCCCTATTCAAGTGGTCAAGCACAGCACCATCCCAGAGCTTTGAGGTTGTTCTCCTGGACATCACTGGGGGAGAGGAAGGCTGGGCACACAGTGGGGTCACCCTAACTGTGTGCATCCCTCCCTATCTGAGCCTGGGCTGTGACCAGGAGGGAATCCCAGAGGGCCCTGCTGTCTTCACTCCACTGCCCCTGCCCCAGGAAGCCTGCCAAGACAAGGAAAGCAGAGCTGAGGCGAGAGAGTCCTCTCCAAGAAGTCTCTCACATTTCAGGATGGGGATGGGGTACAGAGCAAGAGGACAGGGTCTCCAGAAGGGCAAGAAGTGAAGACAGCAGGGGCCACAGGGGGACAGAGAGAGGGGAGCCCCGGGGGGCCCAGGAGGTGGCTCAGAGACCTCACGGGTTTCCCTTTCTGTCTGGCCCCCCCCCTTTCCCCAGCACAAATCTTTCCCCAGTAAAGCAAGTGGCATTCCAGCCACATGAGCTCATGCTTGGGGCCTTGTGCTGCCTGTGGCCAGGGAGGCAAGGGCTGTCTGCTCCCCACCTGCAGAAATGGGCCCCCCTAAGACTCTGAGTCCTTTGGCAGGGGTCCGAGCCCGGTGCATTTTGGGATAGAAGGGGAGGGCCAGCAAGGGTGGAGCAAACAGTCTGAAGATGCAGCAGCCCCCAGGAGGCTCTGAGCTGGCTCCAACTCTGGGCCCCCAGCCAGGCTGAGTGGACAAGGGGAGCAGATGGGGTATCCCCACAGGAAAGAGGCAGCAAAGAGATGGAGGGACAGGAGTGGGTTGATGGGGAGTCAGGGAGCTGGCTGAGGCCTGCCCTGCTTACATCAAGCCAGGAAGCGGATGTTTTTCTCTCGGCCTGGAGTGGGCGTCCTTGTTTACTGCATGGGCTCAGTGAAGCAGGTGTGGAGCGGGCCTGCGGGAGACCAAGGGGCGAGGGAGTGGGAGAGTGAGGCTGCCGGAAATGGAGGTGGAGTAAAGCCTGAATCCTACAGGGAGTGAGTGGCAGCAAGATAGAGAAACAAGCCCCTAGACACCACAGAGGCTGGGAGGAGGCCCACGCCACGGCCACCCAATGACTCAGGACCCCACTGTCCTCCCGGGCCGGCAGGAATCCCTCCCGGCATGAAAGAGGAGGGAGGGCTAGAGGAAAGGCCCAGGAGCTTGGGCGAGGCAAGGCACTCTCTGGGTCTCCTCACCTCCCAGGGAGGACGTGGTGTGCCCTTCACAGTGCCTATGCACTTGTCAGGGGGCTGTTGTCAGGACACAAACATCTTCATTTGGGAACTTCTTTGTCTTGGTGACCTCACCCCCACACCTTTCCATGCCCTCCAAACGTGAGGGGCCTGCTGCCCGCCCTCCATGCTCTCCCCACGAACTCTGTCCTTGGCCGGCTCCATATCCCACTGCTCCCTGACGGGCCTGGACATCCACCCTCAGCCCTATACTCCTTCTCATCCAGGTCTCAAAGCCAGATGTGGGGCTGGTGGCCTTGGAGGCTGAAGGCCAGGAGCTCCTGCTTGAGCTGGAGAAGAAACAGTGAGTACCAGGCCGGGGTGGGACCTGGAAGCCAAGAACAGACCCTCTCTCTGTAGGGGACAATGCCAGGGGCAGGAACTGACACGAACCCTTGAGGGAGGCTGGATGGGGAGAGGGCCCTGGGAGGAGGTACCGGGGACAGGGAGGGTCAGCAGGCCCATGGCTGACTCCCTGGAGGCTGGGTCAGCCCCAGTATGGGGTGGGTCCCTCACCCCACCCCAGGAGCATCTTGTCAGCACCAGGCTCCCTGAGGCAGATGAGTGAGCATCACCTAGTGGGTGCCCACAGGGTATGTGAGTCAAAAGAGAATCCAAGGCCAGATTCCAAAGGTGGAGTTGAACCTGGAGGGCACTCCAGGCTGAGGCAACGGCAGGGACAAAGGTGCAGTGGTTGTGACATTCCAGGCAATTTGTCTGGCTTGCCTGGAAGCAGGGAGAAAGGACCCCTTTCGGGCCAGAGAACAGAAAGCCATGAATGCCATTTTAGTTCTGAGTGTCCTGGACAGTAAGAAGCCAAAGATTTTGACCTAGTGAGTGAGCAGGCAGAGCCAGGCTCCAGCCAGTGCCCTGGGCTGGGCAAGTGGGTGTCTAAGATGGAGCCTGTGAGCGGCAGTGGGCGGGGGGTAGGGGGGTTCATGAAACCATCCAGACTGTACATATTATCAATAGCTATTGTTTACTAGGAGTCCCTGAGTAGTACAAACAGTTAATATGCTAACCAAAAGATTGGAGGTTCAAGTCCACCGAGAGGTGCCCTGGAAGAAAGGCTTGGTGATCCACTTCGGAAAAATCAGCCATTGAAAACCCTAAGATGAACAATTCTACTCAGACACACATGGGGTCGCCATGAGCCTCACTTATAGAGCTGTTCAATTAGCATTCAGGGAGGAAGGCCAGAGGGCCTCCTGGAGTAGGTGGGGCTGAACTGGGTGATTCCTATGACACCTTCTCCCTGCAGGCTGCTGGCCCCTGGATACAAAGAAACCCACTATACCCCAGATGGGCAGCCAGTGGTGCTGGTCCCCAAACACACGGTGAGACACTTTCCACGGGCTCTGAGGATGGGGTGGGGGTACTGGAGAGCTGAAACCTCTGTGGATGCCCCCTCCCCGTCGTTACTACACGATTGTTCTCCTGTTCCTGAGGAGAAGCTGGAGTCCGTCTTCCAGCATATCCTCTATCTAGCCTCCCCTACTTCAGCTCTGGCTGAGATTTGGGGCTGGGTCCCTTCCTTTCCAGGATCATTGCCACTACCATGGGCACGTGAGGGGCTACCCTGACTCCTGGGTAGTCCTCAGCACCTGCTCCGGAATGAGGTGAGGAGCTCTGGGGGAGGGGCTGGGGCCAGGGCTGGGGAGAAAGCTCCCTTACACCTCTTCTGCACCCCCTCTGCACCCCAGCGGCCTGATCGTGCTCAGCAGCAATGCCAGCTATTATCTTCAATCCTTCCCACCTGCGGTCTCCAAGGACCCCTGGACACACAAGATCTTCCGGACAGAGAATCTGCTCAGCTGGAAAGGGGCCTGTGGCCACAGGGACCCCAGTGACAAAAAGGACACTGCTGGCCTTCCTCGTGTCTCTCAGAGCAGGGTGAGGGGCACAGACAGGGGCGAGACTGGGAATGCAGTATCCTCAGTCCTCTGAATTAGAAGCGGCAGAGATGCAGGGGCCCCAGCCCAGGGAATCCTGTCTTGATATTTTTATTGAAGCTGAAGAAACAAGTCTAGAAAATTCTTAAAGTTAACTTTGTTCCTTCTGGGAATCGTGGGCGGGGGTCAGGGCTCAAGCCTAGCAGTCATCCCCTCAGGGTCACCACTGCCCCTCCCCAGGAGATGCGAGAGGCCCACAGGAACCCGAGGTACCTGGAGCTGTACATAGTGGCTGACCATACCTTGGTGAGGGGTCACCCAAGGAGGGGTGAGGGGTCACTCAAGGAGGGGTGAGGCGTCACCCAAGGGGGGGTGAGGGGTCACCCAAGGGGGGTGAGGGGCCAGGATGGGGCCAGCTCAGCTCCTCACACCGCCGTTTTGTTGCCCTCCCAGTTCTTGACCCAGCACCGGAACTTGAACCACACCAAACAGCGTCTTCTAGAGGTCGCCAACTATGTGGACCAGGTTGGGCGCGGCTGGAGACAGCAGTAAACCGCGGTGACTGCAGCAGGGGTGGGCCGGTCCTAGCGGGGGCGGCGGGCGCGGAAAGAAGAAATCGAGGAGACGACCCTACGGAGGGGCACGGGTCCAGGTGGGGCGCCTGGTTCCCGGCTTCAGCCCCTCCACGCCCTCAGTTCCTCAGGACTCTGGACATTCAGGTGACGCTTACCGGCCTGGAGGTGTGGACGAAGCACGACCTGAGCCGCGTCACGATGGACGCGAACGCCACGCTCTGGGCCTTCCTGCAGTGGCGTCGGGGGCTGTGGGCGCTCCGGCCACACGACTCCACGCAGCTGCTCACGTGGGTGCTCGCGTCCTCCATTCGGGTCCCGGGCGGGGCTGGGCGACAGCGATCCCCTGGCCCAGCCCGGTCACGCTGCGCTCCGCCCACAGGGGCCGCGCCTTCCGGGGCGCCACCGTGGGCCTGGCGCCTGTCGAGGGCATGTGCCACTTGGAGAGCTCAGGAGGCGTGAGCACGGTGAGATACGGCTGTGGCGGGATGGGTGCGGGCGAGGGGCGCGGCCCGCGGTGACACCCCCCCTCCCCCGCTACGCCTTCCAGGACCACTCGGTGCTCCCCATTGGCGCTGCAGCCACCATGGCCCACGAGATAGGCCACAGCCTTGGCCTCAGCCACGATCCCGACGGCTGCTGCGTGGAGGCTGTGGCAGAGCAAGGCGGCTGCGTCATGGCAGCGGCCATGGGGTGCGGGCGCGTGGGCTGGGGAGAAAGCGGTAGGAGCTGCAGCGGGGAGGGGGGTGGACCTAAGGAGCTTTCCTTTGGGCCAAATGCCCTTCGGTCAGTCGTGGCACAAGCGATTTGTGATGGGCTACTAACCAAAAGGTTGACACTGGAATTCATGCAAGCCACTCAGCGGAAGAAAGGCCTGGCGATCTGCTTCCGTAAAGATTACAGCCAAGAAAACCCTGTGGAGCAGTTCTACTCTGTAACACCTAGGGTCACCGTGAATCGCAATCAACTCCACCGTACTTTTTTTGGGGGGGTGGGGTTGGGTGAGTATTAGGAAAAGCACAGGTGAAGTGGATTTTCTCTAGAGTATTAAGATTATTTTCAGAACAACCTAGCCATGTTATTCCAAGCAGCGCTGGGTCGGGATTCAATTTTGGGTTCTGGGCTGCCCACTCTTCACATCACACCCTCCTGCCTCTCTGGCTCTTTGCGGTTACATCCCCTTTCTGGGCACTGCTTCCTAGAGAATCCCCGCTGCCCCGTGGCTCAGATAGTCACCGCGCCTCAGGAGGCTGGGTGGCCAAGCTCAGCGGTGGGCGAGGGGACGAGCGGAAGTGGGGGTGGTCTCGGCCCGCCAGACACCCCTGCTCCGCTCGCAGGCGCCCGTTTCCGCGAGTGTTCAGCGCCTGCAGCCGTCGCCAGCTGCGGGCCTTCTTCCGCAAGGGAGGCGGCACATGCCTCTTCAACGCCCCGGACCCCTGGCTCCCGGTGCCGCAGGCTCGCTGCGGGAACGGCTTCGTGGAGCGGGGCGAGGAGTGCGACTGCGGCGCTTTCCAGGTCAGATGCAGGGAGCCCAAAGCTGCCGCCCCCCAACCCGGGCCCCGGAGGCCTGGGACGCTGCGCCTTGACCTGGTGCCGCCTCGCTTTTCCGCCCCAGGAGTGCCCGGACCCCTGCTGCCTCGCCCACAACTGTTCCCTGCGCGCTGGGGCCCAGTGCGCCCAAGGGGACTGCTGCGCGCGCTGCCTGGTGAGGGCATGGGAAGCTCGGTGGTGCGGGTTAGGGAGTTCTGCTGTTTCTCCTCTTCTGCACTTTGGAGCCGGACGGCTGTTCTTTGCTGATTGGCGCCCTCCTGTCAGGTTGCCGGTTGCTAGCTCAGCTCTGTGCGTAGGTCCTTTTGGCGCTTAGGTCCGGCTCCCCCGCCTCAGAGCCGAGCTCTAGGCGTGGATCGCTCGCTGTCCTTTGTCTGTTTGTGCCTCGGCCTCCCTCCGTCTTTCCTTCCTCCCTAACCCCTATCACCTGCGCAGCTGAAGCCGGCAGGCGCACCCTGCCGCCGGGCCGCGGGCGAGTGTGACCTCCCTGAGTTCTGCACGGGCGCCTCCCCGCATTGTCCCCCAGACGTTTACGTACTGGATGGCTCGCCCTGCGCCAGGGGCCGCGGCTACTGCCGGGACGGCGCATGCCCCACGCTCGAGCAGCAGTGCCAGCAGCTCTGGGGGCCTGGTGAGTGGGCGCGCTCGCCTCTGGACCCTAGTTCCCATCCTCGGGCTTGCTCGGATTTCTACTTGGGGGGAATGGGCGGGAGGAACTGAGGCCCGGGGAGCGCTGTGCCTCCCTGGGCTGTCCCCAGCCCCACTCACGTTTCCCCAGGCTCCCGCCCAGCCCCGGAGGCCTGTTTCCAGGTCGTGAACTCCGCGGGAGACGCCCACGGGAACTGTGGCCAGGATAGCCAGGGCCGGTTTGTGCCTTGCGCACAGAGGTGGGTACTTGGGCACACAGTGGAGCCGAGACATCGGAAGCTGAGGGTGAGTTGGAGGAAGCGCGATACTTCATGCTTTTTGGCTACCTTCCACTTCTTTCCCAGGGATGCGCAGTGTGGGAAGCTGCAGTGCCAGGGCGGGGAGCAGCGCCCGCGCGTGCCACAGGCAGTGCCTGTGGACTCCACCATCAGCTTAGACAGCCATGAGATGACCTGCAGGGGAGCTTTTGCGCCCTCCACGGCCCAGCTGGACCTGCTTGACTTGGGCCTAGTAGAGATGGGCACCCAGTGTGGATCTAGAATGGTGAGCCCTGCTCACTCGAACCCTCCTTGCCACTTGAGTCCCGCTGGCCAAGGTGTCACACCCCTCCCTCACTGCCCAGTGTGCACACTGCCTGTAGGTGTGCCAGGACAGGCGCTGCCAGAATGCCACCTTCCAGGAGCTGGAGCATTGCCTAGCAGCATGCCATGCCCATGGGGTGAGTAGCCTGTGGGGTGGGGAGCCTGGGGTCCCAGACCCTCACCTGACCCTCTTTCCTTCCTACTCCTCACTGCAGGTTTGCAATAGTAATTACAACTGTCACTGTGCTCCGGGCTGGGCACCGCCCTCCTGCAAGGAGCCAGGATTTGGAGGTAGCATAGACAGTGGCCCTGTGCAGCCTGAAAGTGAGAGAATAGGGCAGATGGGCAGGGGCTGGGCTGGTGTACTTGCTCAGGACTCAGCCCCATGCTGTCCTCCACAGACCACAATGCCTTCCCGATGGCCACGATCCTGAGCTTCCTGCTGCCCCTGCTCCCCGGGGCCGGCCTGGCCTGGTGCTGCTACGGGCGCCCGGGATCCTGTCTCCAGCAGCACCTCTGGGGCTGGAGGAGAGGTCCTGCTCTCAGTGGGTAGGCTCTGAGTGCTGTGCCTCTGAGGACTCAGATCCCTGCATCCTGAGCCCACCCCTGGGATTCCTGCTCCTCAGAGCTCTGTCAGTGTGCCTGGGAGACGAGACAGGGGTCCTAGGCCTTGCCCTAGGTCTGCGAGGCCTTCAGGCCAACAAGCCAGTTTGAGACAGTAGAGAGGAGCCCTGAGCAGGAGGCCCTAGTGGCCTCCCAGTCAAGCCCAGGGCTTGGCTCCCTGACCTCCACCACTACCTGAGGGCAGGGTCCTCAGCACCCCATTACTGTGGTTCACCCCTCTTGTCCATGCCTCCTGTTTCTGCCACCAGGTGGCCCCCTCACCCTTAACTTTGCTCTGTTTCTCCACCAGCCCCATTAAGCAGTTGCTGCTCCCCTGCGCCCTTCCAGGCCTCCCTAGCTTCTCTGTCTCCTGAGTTTCCAGCCTGCTGCCACTTCGTCTGCCTAATTCTTTTCAGTTACCCGCTTCAGGTTCCCAAATGCTAGGCCCGGCACATCTTTTCACTCTGTGCCACTGGTCAGCTATGATGCCCACCCCTCCTCCAGTCCTCCATGACTCGGCTGAGGACCTCAGAATACCAAGCATGGTCCACCTAGGGCTGCCCCTTCACTGGCGCCCCGGGCAAGGCAGGCCCCTCTGGTCATGTCTGACACAGCCTGGCCTTGAGGGTGCTCTGGGTGAGCTGTGGGAGAGGGCAGGGTCTGGGCTGGACCCGGGGAGTATCACCTGCTGGAGATGGGGCAGAGGGCATCCCATAGAGGGGCAGGGCACCAGCTGGGTCTCAGGGGCCAGCTGAGAGGCCTTGACACAATGAGCAGTGATTGTGGGTCTGTGGGCAGAGCTTGGCCTGGCAGCGTGAGGGGGCTACCGAGGGGAGGCGACTGCACCTCCTAACCAGGTCACCGGAGTCTTGACAGCAATGGAGACTATTGTGAAGAGACATGGGAGGAAGTGGCAAGACCTGGGAGAGTGGGTGCTAGCAGGCAAAGATGTCTTGGCGTCATCCAGGGCAGCAGGGCAGAGCTCCCGTTCAGAGAGGACGTCCTTCTTCAGGGCCTGAGCAGGGCTAGTGTCGGGAAGGCACCAGGATGCTGGGGTAGCACTGGGGCTTCGGGCAAGTGTCAGGCTGGGGAGTGGAGGGGCAGGAGGCCCTGGGAGGGAACACAGGGCTCCTCTCAGGAGGACGCATGCAGGAAGGGGGCCAGAGAGGGTGATGTGGAACAGGAGGGTGGAGACTCGGTCAATGCAGAGCTTGGGCTGGGGCTATGCCGCTGATTGTGGGGAAGCAGCCCCGGGGCGCCCTGCTTGGAGTCACTGTTCTGACCTCCTGGCCTCTTATCCTGCTGCTCAGGCCCAAAGCTGGCCCACGCAGGGACTACCCACTGGGCAGCGTTCACCCCATAGAGCTGGGCCCGACAGCCACTGGAGTGCCCCGGCCCCTGGGTGAGTGAGTGAGGCACCAGTGGGAGATGGGGAAGGAGGGGAAGGGATGGGTTCTTACCTTCTGACTCCTTCCAGAAGGACCCCCCTCCCAACCTAATACCCAGCCACGTTGAGTTCCCTGTGCCCCACCCAGGAATAGGGACTCCTGCCCACTGTGTTCATAGGGCTCATCCTCCCCGACCCCTCCGTTGTTCCCTAGACCTTGAGAACTCTGCCACAGCCCAACAGCCACCCTGAGAAGCCTGTGGCCTGTAGCCCTGCCTGCACCCCCAAGGTAGCTGGGGACTCTGATGTGGGGCCCTCTCCCACCCACAGCTCACCAACCCACCTCTAGTGCCCCTTATCTCTCTGCTCTCCTACTCTAAGGTTTCTGGGCTTGGATTATTATGGAAATGAGACATGCCTTCTTGGAGAAGCTGCTGTCATGGGATGGCATGCTGGAAGGCCCTGGGGTGGGCAGGGGAGAAGTTGTGGCTCTTCTTGGGTCATCCATCCCCACTGAGGGTGGACAGGGGTTCCCTGCCACATTCCTTGCAGCCTGGGGTCCCAGCCCCCTCCTTCACATCCTCCTCAGCAGGTCAAGTCCAGGAACCAAGATTCTGTCTCTGGTGAGAGGTGGCTCCTGAGATGAGAAGACTCCAAGACAGGTGGCTTCTGATACCCACTCTAGGAACTTGACCCCCAGGAGTACAGCCAGGGAGTCAGCTGACCTCTTGCACCTTTAGGCAGCTGGAATGTTTCTTCCCTCAGCAGAGCCCTGCCCCATCCTCTCCAAGACCCAGAGCACTGTCAGAAGTTGCCTTATGGTGTCCTTGCCCTTTAAGGCTGGGAAACCCTGCCAGGGTACACCCTCCAGCCCAGGAACCTATCAGTCCAAGTAGGGAAGGTCGCATAGTTACCTACCTACCTCACCAGGGAAGGCTGGGTCATGCTGGGCACTCAGAGACCTCTGTCCTGAGAGCCTGGGTATGCCTGATTCATGTGCTGTACCCAGGCCCAGTGCTGCAGAGGGCAGTGACTGCTGGGCCAGAAGCTGGGACTCTGGGTCCTACATTTCAGATCTGTGTCCACACTGCCCCACAAACAAACAAAAGAACAAAAACACACTTTGGGACCTTCCCTCCTGCCCTCTCCTGCCCTGTCTTGTCCTCCTGGATACTTCCTTATCCCCCATCCCTATTCCTAGTCCTCCACTTGAGGCTTTTGGGGAGTGTGGGCTCTGCCACAGCCCCCTCACTTTGGACATGACTCAGCTCCTCTCCATTCCCTGGGAGGGGACAGAGGGAGCCAGCCATTTCAGAAAGGACACCAGAATAGAAGTCAGAAAAAAGACCTGTTGCCCTTGGGTCTCTCTGAGTTTTTTCTTTCTGTAAACTCAACCCTATGGGGCACCCTGAGAGTCACAAGGGGTGGTGGCTGGGGCCTCAGATGGCAGCCAGGACCCCAGGCATGTATTTGGGCTTGGGATGGTGCTACCTCACTCGAATAACCCCTTTGCCCTACCCCCCTGCCCATCCCTGGGACATTCTCAGAAGCCCATTCTTCAGCTTCATGCAAGAGTTGCTGTATTAGTCAGCTGTTGCTGTATAACAAAACCATCCCAAAATTTAATGGCTTAAAACAGCAATTGATTCTGTGAGTTGGCAAATTAGGCTGAGCCCAGCTGGGTGGTTTATGTGGTCTCAGCTAGGCTCACTTATATGTTTGCAGTCAACTGCTGTCAGGTGGTTTTGCTTGTGGCTGGCTGCTGGCTGAAGCAACAAGGGTGACTGGACCATGTGTCTCTCATTCTCCAGCAGGCTAGCCCAGGCTTGTTCACATGGCAGCTGGGGAGGCTTGCAGGAGAGCAGGACTGGGACTAGGGTGATGCAAATGAGGCCCTTACTTCAGAGCAGAATTTAAGGGGACACACATACACACACACACACACAAATCTCAGTACTCAGGATAAATAATATTTTAATTCAATATTTCTAAAAATAAAAATTAATGCAAAAAATTCACCATGAACTATCAAAATTTTAAATAAAGACAGCATCAGTAACGGTGTTGTGCCGAGCCATGCTGGAGCCTGAGGTAAAGGGAAAAATCAGTAATGATGACCCTAAGGCCAGTGCCTCCCTCGCCTCCCTCGTCTCACCCTAGTCCTGGCCATGCAGGAGAGAAGTGGAGGCCCGCAAAGCCCCTTGAGGACCAGGCTCAGAACTGGCACTATCTGCATTTCCATCACATTCTATTGGCCCAGACAAGTCCCAGGCCCAGCCCAGATTCCAGAAAAAGACTCCACCTCCTAAAGGGAGGGAAAGCAGAATCATATGGCAAAGGATGTGGAGGATTGGGGAATTTTTGCAATCTAGCAGTCCTTCCACTGGCACGCTCGGGCTTGCCTTCACTCAACAAGCCCAAGGGGCTGAATGAGACTGCTTTCTAAAGCCCCCACTCCCACCCTCCAGGAGGGGGTATCCAGACCTTGTCGGCCTCCAGCTACAAAGGACCAGAGAGGAGGTCAAACTCACCCCTCTTGACTATTGCCTGAAACTGCCAGGACTCCCTCCCCTGTCTGGTGCAGAGAGCCCTAGGAAGGGTCAGATGGGAAAGAAAGAGGATGATGGGAGCAGAAGTCCCAGTCTTAGGGGGAAGGGACATCTGGGGCCTGGGATCACCTGGCTCACAGTGGAGAACTTGAGAGAAGAGACTTAGGTGACAGAGCTGGCTTGAGGTCATTAGCAGAAGTATTAGGGGTGCAGATGGTGAACGGAAGGCAGGAGGGGCAGCTGAATGAGGGCATCCTGAGGGCCAAAGTGGACATCAAGCTGGGGGATGATAAGTGAGCCCAAATGAGATATGACCCCCTGTCTTTATTGAAAACTTTATTGGGACTCACTGAAGAAGCACTCAGTAAATGAAGGGAGAAAGTATCTTCATGAATGGGAAGACTCAATACTATAAATTGTCAGTTATGCTGAAATTCATTTATAGATTTATAATAATTCCAATATACATCCCAACATAGTTTGTTTTTTTTTTTTTTTTTAGTTTAACCAACTGCTTCTAAAATACATTTGGAATAGCAAGGCCTAGAAGAGTGAATGGGGCGGGGAGGGACTAAGAGAAGAAAAAAACGCAAGAAAGAACAGTTGCACTCTAGACATTAAGATTTACTGTAAAGCTATAGTCATTAAGACAGTGAGGTGTCAAAAAGAAGCAAACAAATAGGTCAATGGAGTGCCCAGGAGGGATGATGACATGTGTGATTTTGTTCTGCAGGACAAACTGCAGCCCAAAGGTCCTACTATCAAGGAAAATGGGAAGAATAGATAGGTAGGCAACAAGGAATCTCTATCACACAACTTCATGCCAATAAATTTGAGAATAGGCCAATTGGATGATTTAGCAGAAAAATGACTTACTAGGAATGACTACAGAAGAAATTGAAAATTTGACCAGATCTTTAACTGTTAAATAGAACTGAGAGTTAGAAATCATTTCATCAAAGTGAACTTTAGGCCCAGAAGATTCCATAGATGAGCTCCACTGAACATTTGAGGGACAGCTAATTCTAATCTTATCCATAGTCTTGTAGAGAAAAAATAAAAGGGCACGTGCTCAACTCATTTTACGAGGATAGTATAACCTTGATATTAAAACTTGTTGACGACATAATGAGGAAGTAAAATTATAGCCCAATCGCTCTTATGAACATAGATGCAAAATTCCTAAACAAATTAAGCCCGGCAAATATAAATAATACATACACACATATGTAATTTATTCTGACTCATGGAGAATACACACATTCTTCATGAATCAGAATCAACTCAATGGCAACTGGTACTGGGTATATATATATAATTCATCACAACCAACTTGGGTTTATCCCAGCGATACAAAAATGATTCAACATTAGAAAACCTAAAAGATCCCTCTAAGGTAATGATTCTCATCCTGGTCTGTACATTAAAATCACCTGGGTGCTTGTAAAAAATACCAGTGCTTGGGTCCCTCCCAAGAGATTCTGATTCAGTTTGTCAAGGTAAGGTTGGGCGTTGGTAGTTTTTAAAAGCTCTTCTTCATTTGAATCTAATGTGCAGCCAGGGTTGAGGCAATGCTTTAAGGTTTAAATGGCAGATAATTAAAAATGTTAACCTATGTGCACTGGGAAGAACACACAAATGTTCATAGCAACACTATTTTCAGCAGCTAAAAGTTAGAAAATTTTAAATGTCCATCAATAGGAGATTAGATAAAGAATGGCATATTCATGCAGTAGAATACTATGCAGTAGAGAAAAATGAATGAACTATTCTACAAACACCAACATGAATACACCTCCAAAAATAATGTTGAGCAAAAAAGCAGTGAAGTGTACAGTAAGCCATTTATACAAACTCTACACATATGCAAAACAATACTATATATATTGTTTAGGCATTATGGATTGAATTGTGTCCCCCACAAATGTATGTCAACTTGGCTAGGCCATGATTCCCAGTATTGTGTTATTGTCCACCATTTTGTCATATGATGTGACTTTCCTATGTGTTGTAAATCTTACTTCTATGATGTTAATAAGGCAGGATTAGAGGCAGATATGTTATTGAGGCAGGACTCAATCTACAAGATTAGATTGTATCTTGAGTCAATCTCTTTTGAGATATAAAAGAGAAAAGTGAGCAGAGAGACAAGGGGACCTCATACCACCAAGAAACAAGAGCCTGGAGAAGAGCACATTCTTTGGACCCAGGGTTCCTGAGCTGAGAAGCTGTTCAACCAGGGAAGGTTGATGATGAGGACCTTCCCCCAGAGCCAACAGAGAGAGAAAGCCTTCCCTTGGAGCTGGCACCTGAATTCAGACTTCTAGCCTCCTAGACTGTAAGAGAATAAATTTCTGTTTGTTAAAGCCATCCACTGTGGTATTTCTGTTACAGCAGCACTAGATAACTAGGACAGGTATACATACATATACATGAGAAAAACAAACAGCAAAGTAGTGTAACTGAGGAGTAGTAAGAATAGAATTGGAGGTAGACACAGGAATTGGCAGGGGACACAGGGGTCTTCAACTCTATTTATAATGGTTTATTTCTTACACCACCAGTCTGTCAGTTTGTCGTACTGTGGTGGTTTGTATGTTGCTATGATGCTGGAAGCTATGCCACTGGTACTTCAAATACCAGCAGGGTCACCCATGGTGGACAGTTTTCAGTGGAGCTTTCAGACTAAGAGAGACTAAGAAGAAAGGCCTGGAAATCTACTTCTGAAAATTAGCCAATG